AGAGTATTGCCTGGACACGAAGATTTCACCCTGGTCTCTGAGCTCAGCTATTTCACCTGCGGCGGACGTCTCCGCCAGCTGGTCGTCTGAGATGGAGAGGTGGGGAGCGTCAGCTTCCCTGTGTCCCCTGTCGCGGGGAGCGCATGGCCTCTGAGAGGCAGTACGCGGGCTCGACCTACTCTCGCCGCATGGGCCTGGGGCCCCACGACGGTTGCGCGCGGACGAGCTGCGATTCGGACCATGTGTGTGGTGCCTCATCCGATGATACCTTGGGATACTGCGTCTGCGGCTGTGCCGCCACTGGTCTACTGAGTTCCTCGAAGGTGGCCACGTGCTCCGCAACAGGGACGGTCGCAGGGCTGGGGGTACCAGCACCTGAGGCCCATCGGCGGTTAGCGCGAAAGCGCCCTGGAGTATCAGGACCAGTGAGGCTTTCGCCTGACGCAGTTGGGATTGCTCCCGACTGAGGAGGAGATGGAGGATCGAAGGTAGGCGTGTGAAACTCCGTCCTTCCTGTTCCTACTCCTTCTCCTGTCCCCCCGCGGGCGGCGCTGCGGTGAAGTTCAGCAGCTAGCCGCGCCTCGGGTCCGTCGGAGCTGGGGGGGGGTACCTGGGACACCAACACAGTCCGCACTAAGGCTAACCAACTCATCACCGAGCCGTCGCGCCGTCGGAGAGCTCGGACGCGAGGCCCCGATGGACCCCTTGCAGCGCATGCGCCGCTTGGGTTCCATCGAGGCCGCGTGCGAGGTCGCGACGCGGGGTTCGATGAACGGTGAGCTTTAAAGGGCTGATAACCTGTGTATGGGGTTGAAGTACAAGGGTACAGAACCCCTGATCCGTTGGTAAAGGGAAGGAGGGATAGATGGATGTCTTTCCCTCCTGCACGATCAAAGGTCTGATCGATCTGTCCCAATACCTGAGCCCAAACGGCCAGGCGCAGGAGAGGTGAGGATAAGGAGTATATATGAAGGTATTACACGGGTGCTATTCACACTAACTGCCCCCAAACAAATCCCCCGAGAGAGACACCAAGAAGCATTCGTGAGGGCTCTAACCAACAAGCATACCAGAGACCGACAGGTCAAAGCCCACTAAGCCCCGCTTACGTTCCGGAGACTTGGACGCGTGCAATCTCCTCTTCTGCACCTCGCCGAAGCGTCCCAGAAAGCACGAAGACTCCCAAGCACCCTCCAGAAATTCGATGCACCCTCCAGGAGCCCCCAGGACCCCCCGCAGAGGACTCCCGACGACAGAAGAAGACCCTCCAAGACAGGGACTACAAAAACGAAGTCGGCGGATGTGGCGTAAGCCTATAAAATCAGAGTCTGCGTAGGACGTCACTCAGCTGGATGCCCCAGCAGCCCTCGAAAGTGGCGACAGTTCCGCAGCTCGCACGCCCAAAGGGACGGTGAGGTCCAATCTGAGCCCGCGTAGGACATCATTACCGCTGAAAATCCCAGAGGCTCTCGAAAGCGGCATCACTTTCGCAGCTCTCAGCCCCCACCAGGGATGGTGACGTCTAATCTGAAACCGCGTAGGACGTTGCTCCGCTGGACCCCCGGCAGCCCTCAAAAGTGGCTACAGTTGCGCAGTTCGCAATCCCCCAGGGGATGGCGAGGTCTAGTGTGAGTCTGTGTATGACGTCAGTCCGCTGGCCTCCCAGCAGCCCTCACAAGTGGCGACGGTTCGCAGCTCGCAGTCATACATGGATGGCGATGTCTCATCTGAGTCCGCGTAAGACGCCACCCACTGGGTCCCCCAGCAGCCCTCGAAAGCGTGAACAGATCCGCCATTCGACCCCCCCCCAGGGATGGCGATGTCTCGTCTGAGTCTGCGTATGACGCCACTCCGCTGCCGCCCCCCAGTAGCCCTTGAAAGAGCCGAGAGTTTCGCAAATCGCAGCCTCTCAGGACTGGCGATGTCCCATCTGAGTCTGCGTATGACGCCACTCCGCGCTGCCCCCCCCCCAGCAGCCCTCGAAAGGGGCGACAGTTCCGCAATTCGCAGCCGCCGAGAGATGCCAGGGCCGAATCTGAATCTGCGTATGACGACACTCCGCGCTGCCCCCCCCAAGCAGCCCTCGAAAGAGGCGACAGTTTCGCACTTCGCAGCTACCCAGGGAGCCCCTAGGCAGGACGGCGAGGTAGGACGGCGAGGTAGGGGGTAGGGTAGCAGACAGGTACGGGGGAGAGAGGGGGGAAGCCAGGCGGGAGGAGGTGTGCGACCGCAGTGCTCCATTCAAAACGAGACCCAAACGCAGGAGGGTTGGGGACAATTGATGGGTGGGCCCAACCTGCCTTCAAGGAGTTGGACGAGTGATTTCTCCTTCGCCCCCCCTTAAATTTTCCTTCTCCTCCTCCACCTCACCTCCCCCTCTTCCTCCACCCCCTCAACCCGCTAAGACCTCCCAAACTCTACGAATCCACCCGATCCGTCCACCTGCGCCCCCCTCTTCCGCAACAAACGAAGGAAAGCATATGGCATAGGGGCTGAAAACCCTGGGAGCCCCCGAAAACAAACGAGAACCCCAAGCCTCCTGATATCCGACTCCATGTTCTTGGTTGCAAGCCTCGCCACACGTTGTTGCCATACATGTGCAACCACACGCATTCCATGACTGCTGAGGCCCGATTGAAGCAGCTGCGACATTCGTTACAGCCCCACACGTAAACAGGAAGGACGCATGGTAACCAAGACCCTTGGACGTCTGCGTGGAAACAATCACAACGATAGGATATGTCGCGAATGCTGGGCCGAGGAGGCAGGGATACAGGGGCCCTGGTGAAGCACCGAACCCTTACTGCAGGCCTCGACACAACTGCAGCCGGGCAGAAACAGGAACGCCCAGACACAACAAGTAAAACTGTGTGGATTGGGAAGCCCCCAAAAAAGTACCGATCCCGTTGCTCCCCAGAACTCCCCGGAGGTGCGCTCTGACCAGACTTTCGAGGCGAACTCAGCGGTGGCGACGAGGGCCTCCCAGCAGGCCCAAAGAGGGAGAAACAAGGGAAGATCGGCTGCAAGCGAGGGGGGAAGTGAGAAGGAGACGGCCTTCTCAGAAGGCGGCGGGACTTCTCCGAAAAGTCCTCGCATCTTCTGAAAAGTGTCCTGTGTCTCCGGAGGAGAAAGCTTAGAGAAGACTTCTCGGAAGACTTCGGGACCTCCGAGCCTTCTGAGAAGGCCCGCTCCTCACCTGCCCCCCCCCCGGGCTCGCCGCCGGGAAGGGCAGCGGCATCGGCACCGCTTCCTCCCCCAAATGGCCTGAGCGATCCGTGTTGAACTCGAACCGGTTTTTGGCATGAAAAAAAACGCTCTTTATTTCAAAAACCTGCTATTTTACTTCCAAAACAATTTTTCCTCCTACCTCCGACGGCGGCCCCCGCCCCGCGGCGTGGGCCGCGGACGCCTGCCCTCCGCTGCGGCGTTCGCGGTCCACGCAGGCCCTGCGCCTCCGGCGGCGCTGCCGCGGCCACCACCGCCCGTGCTGCCTCCGCCGCCACCCGCGCCGCAGCAGCCGTCGCTGGCTCCACAAGCTCTGCTGCTCCGCCGCCGCCGCCGCCTGCTCTTCCTCGGCGTGCGCTTCTCTGCTGGTCCTCCTCTCCCATCCGACCCCACTCCTGGTCCACCTCCACATCCTCCACGTCCTCCTTCTTGTTCATCCTCCACCCTCATCTCCTCCGTTTTCATCCTCCATCTCCTTTCCTGGTGGACAACTAACTCTACGACTGTCGCACCACACCCAGAGGTGCCTGTGGGCCTGGGCCTGGGACTTCGCCTGAGTCTTCTTTAAGACTTATGATCCAAAATCTTGATGCTTGCAGCAGCTACACAACTGGATGGCGGTGGATTTCGAAATGGGTGTCTGGCGATGGCGCCGCGCACATTCATACGAAAAACTTGCAGCTATTACGAGTATGGAGGAAGTCGTGTCAAATTGAGGCTCTCCACTCTGCGCCGCGCACACTCGTCTCAAAAACTTGCAACCATTGAAACAATGAGCACAGGACCTTTCCGACATGAGGCTCTCTCAGCGACGCGTACATTCGCCTCAAAGGTTTTTCCAGAAGTTGCAACAGGAATGAAGGACGGTTCCTTCCAACTGTGCGCGCTCCCTTGAACCCCCCCAAAAACACTTGTCGAGGGCGGGTCTGTTTCAATGAATGCCTATCGCTTTTGAATTCCTCGGGGACCATGGCCAAAAAGCACACTTGCGCAGCAGTCGGACAGATGGTGGCGGACCTGTTCAAAACAGAGATATCGCTGGACACCGCTTTAAACTGTGAGAGTATCCATATTCTCCCGTGGAGGCAATCTGGTTTGCGCTTTCAGGCATCACTAATGTAGACAATTGTCACAGCCTCGCATTAGTCAAGGGCCGAAGAGCGAGGAAATCGAAGTGGCGTAACTATTGTTTGACTATTATTCCGGTGAGATTATACATGTTCGCACTCTGTCCTGCTCTCTGGAAGATGGGAAGCAGCTCTTTTGCAAAACATGGTTCGCGCCTGAGTGGCAGGCCCGGAAGAGGTGCTGGTCTGTCAAGGGGGGGCGCTTTTGGCAGCGAAAGGAAAGAAGGGCTTACAGGGACTATGAGGATGGGCCTTCTTGGGTATACTCTTATAGCATCGTGGGTTTACTCATGTAGCATGATGGGTCTACGTGTTCTGCGAGGTTTCAAAACAGCATATTCGAGGCATAGTGGGTTTATTCTTGTTATCCTCCTCCTCCTCCTCCGCCTCCTCCCCCTTCTCGCCCACCTCTATCTCATTACAGTCATCACAACCATCATCATTGGAAAACAGAGAGTTTCCACCCACGCGGTGGCGTGTTTTTCCCGTCTGTCTACGCTTGCGCACTTAGACAGCACAATATGCAGGCCTCTCACTGCGTTGCCATCTTCCTCGCACAGAAGCTCCAGGCTCGCCTTCGGCCGCCTCGAATCGAATCATCAGCGTCAGCCCTTCTCCCTCCCTCCTCCCTCACCTCCCCCGTCTCTGCTTGCCGAAGAGGGACACTGAACTAGAGGGGGGACAGGAGGCAGCGGGCTCATTTTCCTCCCGCGCAGGCCGCGCGCCCGGAGCCACCAAGAGGAGGGAACGGGGACGAGGAGGGAAGGTCAGAAGGAAAGAGGGAGGAGGAGAGAGGAGGAGGAAAGAGGGGGAGAAGGACGAGGACGACGAGAAGGACGAGGACAAGGAGGAGGACGAGGAGGAGGAACAGGAGGATCAATACGTACTTGTAGGGTTTACTTGATTAAGGTTTCATTCACAGCCAGAGGTGTGGTACTTGCTGTGTCGTGCTTGTGGCAGTGCTACTTGCTGTGTCGTGCTTGTGGCAAGTTTGGCCATACGGCAGGGACTGCCGCCAGCACCACCATACCTACGCAAGCTGACGCCCGCACGTTGTCACTCACTAGCTAGTCTTCTACCCTTTCGGTGTCATCTTTTTACGCTTTCAGCCTTAGCGGGCCCGCATGGTCTTCCATTTCGCTTTGAGAACCGTTGTCCTGCATTTGCTGGCTGCCGTTCGGAGTCCATATCGCCTGAGACGGTCGTCTCTGTTTCCCACTCTTGCAGCATAGACGCCGTGATCACCCGATCATAGCCCGTGCAACGTAAGGAGCATAAAGAGGTGGAGGAGGGAGAAGGAGGAGGAGGTTGCCTGGAGGGGGTAGAGGAGGACGAGGTGGAGTCGCCAGGAGATAAGGAAAGGAGATCTGGAGGATGAGGCTGAAGAGAAGGAAGATGGGGGGAAGAGAAGGGAGACGACGACGACGACGAAGGTGACGACGGTGACGGGGACGACGCCAAGGAGGGGCAGGGGGCACCAGTGCCTAGAGCCTCGGCCTCGGGCCCGCGCCGGCCAGCGCCTCGTAAACCATCTGCGTGATCATGACGTCCTGCACCGCGACGCCCGAGCTGTCGAAGACGGTGAGGCGCTGGTCCCCCTCGCCCCGCTGCAGCTCCGCGCGGTCCAGCAGCTCCCCCACCTCGAGGACGCCGCTCTCCCGCACCAGGCCGCGCGCCCCGGCCTCCCGCAGCTCCCCCCGCTCGAAGGTCTGCGCCCTGCTGTCGCAGACCAGGAGGTCCGCCGAGGCGACGAGCTCGGGGTCCAGCTCCTGCCAGGGCTCGACCCAAACCGTGTTTGCCGATTTCGTGTTGTTCTCGTTCTCTCTCGTCATATTTTTTCTGCTCCGCCTTTTGCTGGAAGGCGAAATCAAAACGAAAACGGCCCAAGAGATCGCCAAGACATCGTTTAGGTCGTGCCCTGGCTCCTGCTTGCCTGGGCTGTCGGAACCCGTGGCGCTTATGCTCGGAGTAGCAAGAAGCGGTGCACAAGCAGAAACTCTCGGAAGTCCGCGCAAATCTCTCTGGGATCGGCGCCGGGACCCCCAGGCGGCTCCGCGCGCCAGGGAGCGGGGCCCGGCGCAGATAACAGGGATCCGCGAGGACCGGCGAAAGCGCATGTTCTTGTGATCGCTCTCTCTCCCGCGAGATGTGCACGCCCCCCGCCCTGCCAGCGAACCACGACCTCCAGAGCAGGGGCTCGCGGGCCGTCGTCGCCGTGTGGATCAGCTGGCACTCCGCGGCGACCTCCCGCGCGGAGGCCGGCACCGCCTCCCAGCCCTCCGCGCGCATCTCCTCGCAGAAGCGGGCCAGGCGCGCGCCGTCGCGCGCGTGCGCCAACACGCGCCGGCAGGGCGTCACCACCTTGAGCAGTCGCAGCTGCCACCGCGCCTGCACCCCGCAGCCGAGCACCCCCACGGCGCGCAGCGCCCGGCCGCGCGGCGCGAGCAGGCTCGCGGCGAGGGCGGCGGCGGCCGCCGTGCGCAGCTCGGTCAGGAGGCCCTCGTCGAAGAAGATGGCCTCCAGGCGCGCGGTCCGCTGGCTGAACAGCAGGTTGAGCCCCGTGTTCACCGGCAGGTTGCGCGCCTCGTTCGCGCGCACGCCCCCGGGCGACACCTTGATGACGTAGTGCTCGTGTCCCTTGACGTAGCCGCTCTTCACACACGTCTGGGCATCCTCCCCCGCCACGAAGGGGTGGAGCGGCGGCTGCCCCAGCGTCTGTATGCACGGCACCGAAGAGGAGGGAGGGAGGGAGGGAGGCAGGGACAGAGGGAGGGAGCGAGGGACAGAGGGAGGGAGGGAGGCAGGGAGGGAGGGACCGAGGGAGGCAGGGAGGAGCAGGAGGAGGAGGAGCAGGAGGAGCAGGAGGAGCAGGAGAAGACGAGCGGCCTCCTCCCGGGCCTTGGTGGGGGGAGAGGGGGGCAGGAGGGAGGGGGGAAGGAACAAGCTAGGTGCGCTCGCGTCATATCTGACGTCCTACCCCTCCCTCCCATTCCTTGCCATGGCGTAGATCTCCTCTCTATTCGCACAGTCGGATGTCGTTGCAGGGCATATCACTACATGGCATAGCATGGTGTTGAAGATCAACGCGTAGCCTGACGCCCCAAAATTGAGGGGGGGCTTTTGCGGCTCCAAAAAACCAACGAATCGGCACTGAATGTGTGTAATCACTTCCGATGGTTGCTTCGGGGGGCCATTTTCTAGCTTCGTGGTCCAATTTGACCAAAAACCATGCCGTGGCATGGTGCTGGAAATAATGACGCCAGCGCTGCAGTGTGAGCACGATTCGGAACGAGCGGAGGCGCAGAAATAAGGCCAGCGCTGCAGCGGGAGCACGATTCGGAACGATCGGAAGCCTGAACATGAGGCCAGCGCCTCAGCGAGAGCAGCATTTTGAAAACAAAAACAAAAACAAGCGAAAACCCAACTCGCCGACATCCTGTGGAAAAAACAATACGCGAGGGGGGCCGAACACTCCGAGACAGACTCCGCCACAGACTCGGGGGAGAGAGGAGAGTACACTCGACCAGGACAGTAAGGATGCGCGGTAAGGATGCAAGGGTCTTGGAACGCCATGTTGACGTCTTCCGTGCGGAGCGCGGCAGAATGCCAAAGGATGCCGAATACCGAAGGGGCAGGGATGTCAGGGTAGCCTTGGAAAGCTGCCCCGTCCTTACTGTCGTGGCTGCCCGTAGCATTCCATTGTAAGCAACTGCAGAGGAGGAGGAGCAGAGGTGCAGAGGCGGAGGCGGAGGAGCGGAGGAACGAGAGCCGGAGGGCGGAGGAGGAGGACGGCAGGCTCGAACGCCGCGGGGCCCGAGGCAGCAGGCGACGGGCAGGCGGGAAAGGCAGGAGTTCGGAGGCCCGAGGCGGTGCGGCGACAGGCCGTGCGGTGACCCCGAAGCCCCCCAAGACCTCACCGCACGGTCCGTCAACGCACGGCTCTGGGACCTCGGATGCCCCAGTCGCCCGACGACGTCCTCGGAGAGCGACCCGGGTCCCAAAACCGTGCGGTGACCCCGAATCCCCACTGACTCACCACACGGTGTGCTCACCACCCGTTTTTGGGGGCCCCCGAAGGAGGGGGGAGGACAGGAGGCGAGGAGGACGAGGCTGGATGGCAGGATGAGGGCAGGAGGGCAGGCAGGAGGAGGCGGAGGGAGGACGGGAGAGGAGGAGAGGCGGCCCGCCGCGCCTCGCGCGGCGCGCGAGGGCGCGCTCCCCCCGAGGCGGGCGCCCTGGGGGTTAGACCCCAGGCGCGCGCGGGAGAGGATGACGAGGGGAAGAGAAGAGATTCGGACGACGGGCAAGGGTTTTTTTGGATTGCGCTGCTGATGAAGCGTATGGCCTGTCAGCTAATGGCGGCGCTGCAGCTAGCAGAGGCAGTCAGCACAGCCAACTCGTGTGGCTGTGCTAAGAGGCGAAACTCGCAAACTCTGCACGGGCACCTGAAGTCAAGTCAGACAGTAACTTCCACAAACCAACCTGCCTAACCCCACGAATCCCACCCAGTCCCATAGTATTAACTACGCGCGCAACTGGGTGCGAGGCAGCCATGTGGACGCAGAGCGTCTGGCACTAGGCGGCAAAGGATTGAAATGTTCAGCCGTGGCCAGGAAGTGGCGGCGGACAGGGCGGGCAATGCTCTCGGCGTATCCCTGGCAGCGCCAGAACATCACGCTTCACAGAGATGCACTCACTGACTTAACCCCTCCACAATGCTACCAGCCACTCCCACTCCCATCCTTATCTGCAAGACAAAAGCAAGAAAGGCTGGCGGCAGGCGGGGGCTGCGGCGTGCAGCCGCATGAGCGCCTGGCTGGCGACGCGCGGCCCGACGGACGCTCGGGGGTTCGGTGCCACACGCAACGGGTGTGTGGTTAGCGACGGACTACGCTCACCGAGCCCCCTGCCAATGCCCCCCACGGGCCAAGGCTTGAAGCTTGACAGTCGGGCGGTGACAGAAACGCGAGGGGGCGCACCTCTGTCCAGGTTGACGGTGGAGAGAGAGCAGGCGAGCGGGTGGCAAGCAGGCGGCGGCGGAAAGAAGCGAGAGAGGCAGGCACATGCCTCTCTGATCTCAGCACGTCCACCCAACCTGACATACCCAATTTCGGAGCGCCCACTATGGCCCGCCCCCCTCACGGTTCGACCCTCGGTTCGGCCGACCAGGCTGACGCTCGAGCTGGCGACAGTTGCGCGCGTCAACTGCTTTCAGTGAAACCTGTTACGCACCGTCTGAAATTTAGTCTCAGAGAGAGAGCGGGCAAGAGGGCGGGACAGCACATGCAGGCAGGCCGTGCACAAGAGAGAGCAAGAGAGGCGGGCTGCCGCTCTCTCTGACTGTTGCTACACTGCCTCGCTGCTAATACCTCCAACTGCCCGACCTACCAATCCCAGCCCTCTCCCGACTACGCGATGCGGTCTTCACGACCGCTGTGGCTCTCAAAGCCGCTGAACTCAACGACTTTACCTCGGCGAGAGCCGCTGTGGGGCGGGGGCTTCGCGAGTTCCTTTCGGAGCGCCCACTATGGCCCCCTCCCCTCACGGATCGACCCTCGGTTCGGCCGACAAGGCTGACGCTCGAGATGGCAACAGTTGCGCAATACGACTGCTGTCATTATCTGAAAAATCTGGTTCCAGAGGAAGAGAGGGCAAGAGGGCGGGCCGGCACTGCAGGCAGGCCGAAGCGATGAAAGAGCAAAAGAGGCGGGCTGCCGCTCTCTCCGCTTGCTGTTACCCTGCCCCGCTGCTAACACGTCGACCAATCCCCCAACGTTCCCTCCATACTACAAAAATCACCTGAAACTGCGGCCATCGGATACTCCTGGAAACTGAAGGTGGCCGACAGACACACGTCCATGGTCCAAGAGAGGCTGTCTGCAGCAAAACTGATCCACGTGAAAGTCAGGCCTGCTGTGGCGCAACTCTGGAGGTCAGACGGCTATGGAATGCAAGCTCATTCAGCGGACGTGATTCCGGCTCAGCTCGAAACTGGCGGATGAGCTGGGGGCTATCTGCATACCACCACGGGGCTAGCCAAACGAGGAGGGCACGCATTAACCACAGCACCAGCCACAAGGCAAGGTCTTAGCAAAGCTCGAAACACTGGCAACATAGGCGGAGAAATCAGAACACGTCCACACAAGTACCCCACTGTCAGCCTGCTCGCCTGTCACACCCCAAGACGGTGGCCCACCCAAGTGCCGTGTGCTTGGCGCGGGTGACTGTGAGCTTCTAGGAAGGTGAGATAACAGAGGTAACGCAAGGCTCGAAAGACGAAAGAGTTGCGAGAGCAAGGCCAGGGCTGACAAAGTGCCTGACTGAGATGCAATCCCTTACCCATCCACCACCTACACCTGAGGCCCTCCACCCAACATCCTATTTACTCGTGCGCATTATCAAACAGCCCTACCCCAAAACCGGATTGGAAAGTCCATGGGGCTATTCGCTGGGCGAGTCGAATCCGACGTCGCTCTCTAGCTTGCGCACGCTTGGCAGCAATTAGGGCACGCAATTCTGGCGTGAGCTCAACGGGCTGTGGGGGCGGCGGGAGACACGGAGATTGGGAAACGGGTAAAGAAAGACGGGAGTGAGAGAGCAAGATAGCCAGGGCTGACACAGTAGCCTGACTAGATCAGTGCAATCTGGAATTGGGCAGCGCGGCTGCGGCTGGGCCTCGGACGCCATCCGAGGTGAGTGTCAGTCGGCCTGACTGGCGCAGCACCAGTCGCAGGCGGGCCTTGAGACGGCTCAGCGGCAGCCCTCTCGCTCCCCGTGGCCCGCCCGCCATGACACATCACCCCAGCGTCGACGTCGCCCCCTCGCTGCCCTCGGTGGAGCCAGCGCGGCCGCCGCACAGCATGAAGCCATCTGGCGCTTCGCGCCGTGGGCTGTGGCTGCGGCTGTGCCTCTGGCGGCGGCTGGCTGCACCTGCAACGGCATCCTCTCCTGCCTCTGCGGCGACGGCGGCACGGCCGCGCGGCGACGGTGGCAGGGCGCCGCGGCCGCGGTGACTGCACGCACCTGGCCGCGCTGACGCCTGGCGAGCCAGCGCGTCTCGCAGTCCCTGCTGGCCATCAGGGCGACGTGCACGTTCTGCAGCCTTCCTCTGTGCACGCTGAGCTGCCCTCGCCTTGCGGGCTGCCTCGGCCGTGGCAGCCGCAGCAACATCCTCCTCGGCGCTGACTGGCACCTCGACGGCGTCGGCGGCGGCGGGTCCAGCAGCGCCCCATGCCGCCCCCACGGCGGCGCCCGCAGGCGGGGGCCCCCCCTGTGGGCCACGGGCCACAGGTGCGTCGGCCGGCACGGGGTAGGCCGCGGCAGGAGCCTCAGGCCTGGGCGCGGGGGCCACTGGCCCCAAGCGCTGGGGGGGCCCTGCAAAGGGCCGCACCTCGGGCGCAGGCGCGTCGCCATGCGCTGCTCCACCGCGCGCCGCCGCCATCTGACCCTGCATCGTCGTCAGCAGCTGCGTGAGGCCGACGAGCTGCTGGGTGAGGGCCGCCTGGCCAGCCTGCAGCTCCGCGATGGCCGCGATGGGCGGCGCGCGGTCGGGCGGCGTGGCTGGGGCTGCATCGCCCTCAGCGCCGGCCACGGGCGTCGGCGTGATGGGCTCCTCCATCGGCTCGTCGCCCGCGGGGACCATGGCCTCGAGCTGCTCCAGGAGCGCCTTGGCGCGGCCGAGGGCCTCGGCGCGCTGACCCACCTTCGCCTCCAGCTCCGCGAGCTCCTCACGCGCCCGCGCAGCCGCGGCCTCGGCTTTCTCCAGCTTGGCCTGAGCCCGCTGGACGAAGCTGCGCTGGCGGTCGCATCGTACGCCAGCTGGGCGGGCCAGGATGATCATGCTGAGCTGCACGGCGTACTCCTCCTCCTGTGGCCGCCTCTGCTCCAGACTCATGCCGAGCTCGATGGCAGCCTGCAGCCTCTTGCCCGTGGCGGCCGCCATCTGGCGCAGCGAGCGCCTGTGGGCCGTGAGCCCGCGCTCATCCGACGGCGGCTCGACCCAGGCTGGGTGTGCCCGCGCGTCCGACGGCAGCACGGGGAGGATGCCGAGCGCGGGGCTGCGGCCGTCCTCATCGCCACCCGATGCATCAGATTCGCCTCCAGCAGACCGCCACCGTCGGCCATCGCCGTCGGCGGAGCGCTGGCGGCGGCTCGAGGCCGACCTCGGCCGCGGATCGCCTCCGTCGCCCTCCGTGCCCTCGTCCTCGAAGCGGACTCGCGAGGCTGACCGCGGCCTCGGCTCGGCCTCGGGCTGACGTGCCTCGCCCTTGCCGCCGCGGCGCCGACGCCTCGAGGCAGAACGAGGCTGGCGGCCGTCACCGCGCGGGCCCGCGCGCGGGCGCGCTGTCCCTCCTCCGTCTCCATGCATGGGACCATGCTCGGGAAGAGGGAAGCAGGTGCGGCACAGGGCGTCAGCAGGGCCTTTGAGTCCTCCGCACGACGGGCACCACCATCCAGGCGGCGGCGGCGGCACGGCCCACGGCGGAGTGCTGCCACTCTGCCCGCTGTGGCCGCCGCCCGAACTGCCCTTGCCGCTGCCCTTGCGGCCCTGGCCGCCTTTGCCCCCGCCTCCGGCTCGGCCTGACATCAGCCCGTTGCTGTGGTGCGCACGCAGCCTCGCAGCGGCAGCGGCGACGCGCAGCAAGGTGCGCGACTGCGTGCGCCGCTCGCGAGCGCGCCTGTGCCAGGCGGGCTCGCGCACGCGCAGCCGGCGCCGCGCCCTGCTCGAAGCGGGCGCCCGCGCCGTCGTGCGCCCGCCCACTCTGGGGGCGGCGCACACCGCAGCACAGCAGCACGGCCGGCCCGCACGCCACCAGCGAGGGCGCGGGCGAGCGCGTATGGCCGCCGAGTCCCGCGAGGCTCGCAGGTATCCTGGATACCTGCACCCAAAAGCCTCGGGCCGGGACGGCGGCTACGGGCAAGGGAAGGGAGGGAGGGGGCAAGTTAGGTGCGCTCGCGTCAACATCTGACATCCTACCCCTCCCTCCTATCCTTTACCATGGCGCTGATTTTCTCTATCCGCGGACGCGTGTCGTAGCGGACCTGTGGCTCCGCGCGCGTGTGCGTAGTGGGTGGTGGTGCGCGTGCGTGCGTGCGTGTATGCGTGGTTGTGGTTGTTGTGGTGGTGGTGTGTATGTGTGTGTGTGTGCGTGTGTGCGCGTGTGCTGTGGTGCGACGTAGTGTGGCGTCTTGGTGGTTTGGTGGTGGGCCAGGTGCATACGTGCGTGATGGCGGTGGTGGTGGCGGTGGTGGTGTGTGTGTGTGCGTGTGTGTGTGTGTGTGTGCGTGTGTATGTGTGTGCGTGCGTGCGTGTGTGTCTGTGTGTGCGCGCGTGTGATGTGGTGTGACGCGGTGTAGCGTGGTGGTGGTGGGTGGGGTGCGGTGGTGGTGGCGGTGCGCGGTGGTGGTGCGCGTGCGTGCGTGCGTGCGTTGGTGGGTGGAAGTGGCGGTGGGTGTGCGTGCGGCGGGGCGGGGCGTGGTGCGGCGCGGTGGTGGCGGGCGGATGGGCGCGCGAGAAAGAGGCCCGCGCTGGGGCGAGAACGCCATCCTGAACGACGGAGGCAAAACACCGATCCGAAAATGAGGCCCACGCTGCAGCGGGAGCACGATTCGGAACGATTCGGGAGCAGAAATGAGGCCGGCGCCTCAGCGAGAGCAGCATTTTGAAAACAAACAAAAAAAAAACGCAAAAAAACTCCGGGGAATCGCGTGTGTAAAAAAACAGTACGCGGGGGAGGGGGGGGCGAATACGCAAAAGACGTCATCAGGGGAAGAGGGAAAGTAGTATTCATATTGAGTTATTGTGGAGGGGGGGGAGAGGGGGGGGAGGGGGGGGAGGGGGAAGACGGGGGGAGGGGGAGAGTGCAAGCTGGGTGCGCCTCCCTGGCGCGCGGAGGGCGCCAGGAGCTGCGCTGGAGGCGCTGACAGGGGGACTGCCCAGCGCAGATCCAAAAGATCCGCGCGGACCTCCGAAAATTCATGTTTATGCCGATGTTTCTACCCCGGGAAGAGCGACATGAGGGAACGACGAACAAGGGGAAGCAGCAGGGCCAAGTGTAAAACCAAAGACTCATCAATGATGTTGGATACACCCTCCCCGCCAAGCTCCCTCTTCATAGGCCCCTGCAATAATTCATGTCCGCTGAAGGAAATGCCCCGTTGGGGGACAAACGTGTGAAAAGCCTGCCTCGCGCAAAAAAAACATCACTCTCAGGACTTCAATGCCGCGAGTCAACCTGACTGTTGCGTTTTGACGATCCTGGATCGTGCCAGAACACCAGTCCTGGGACTTCAACACCGCGAATCAGCGTAACTGTTGAGCCCTAACAGCCTTGGATCGCTCCAAAGCAACATCTCTGGTAGGCTAGCCATGAGAGTCAATGAAACCGCTTGCAAATTCTTGTAGCGGCGGATATGCGAGGCGCTAGGACGAGAGCCACATGTTGAAAAGCAACCACCCTCAAGGCGCTAATGCGAGAGCCACAAATTGAAAAGGAACCGCCATCAAGATATGAAATCCTTACAAACATGTAAACCGAATGGTCGCGGCGCTGAGGCGAGAACCACATCTTGAAAACCATATGTTCTCAATCCGCGAAGCTCCTGCAAATGTAGGACGACTGTGCGCGGCGCTAAGGCGAGAGCCAAATGTTGAGAATCACCTGCGCCCCATCCCCGAAACTCCTGCACATGTTGAAGACGAATGTGCGCGGCGCTAGGGCGAGAGCCACATGTTGGAAGCGAGCGGGAGAGGAGGGAGAAGGCCGTAGGAGAGGAGAGAGCGAGGAGGGAGGAAGGCGGGAAGGCCAGGGAGAGCAAGGAGCACGGTTTGGAGGCCTGAAAATGAGCACCAACACCAACACAGAGGGATGCCTTCACAGGGGGAAGATGATCCCAGATTTCGGTGTTGGTGGTAATATTTCGACCACCTTGGAAGCCAGAATATTGCCACCATCACCGAGATCGGGATCCTCCCTAGGTGGAGGCACATCGCCGATGTTGGTGTGGGTGTCAACCTCCAGGCCTGCGGAAGGAGGGAGGAGGGAGGCGGTCGGCGACCGAGACGTCCCCGCGGCTGTAGGCGCGGAAGCCCTCCGCTTGGAGGTCGATGATGGCACGATGGTCCTGCACCGCCCTCTCGACGTTCGGCGGCGCGCGCACGGGGGGGGAGCGCGAGGGGGGCGGCCTTCCGTGAAGGCGGGGGAGCTCCCAGGAAGGAAGGGGAGCCGTCTTGGAAGCCCTCCCTGCGGCTGAGAGGCCTCCTCAGAAGCCTCCGGGACCTCCCAAGGAGGCCCCTGCCTTCCGAGAAGCGCACCGCCCCCTTAGAAGGCCACCCCGAGGGGGCCACATGCGAACCCTACCCCTACCCCCCCCCCCCCCCCACGATTTCTGAGGGAGAGGGTGGGGTTCACTTCGTTCGGGAGCTCCTGAGCGAAGTGAACCCCACCCTCCCCCATCAGAAATCGCGGGGGGTAGGGGTAGGGTTCGCATGTGGCCCCCTGACCCCCCTCGCGCCACCCCTCCTTGCGCGCCGCCGAGATGTCCTCCAGGCCGAACTGCCGCGGCGCGGGCAGGCGCATCCCAGAGGGGGGCCAGTCCAGGACAACGGCGGGCGGTCCCCGGCGCACTTCGTCCCTCGTTGGGGCATCCTGCTCGCGCGCCAACCCTGCTCGCGCGCTCTCGGCCGCTAAGCATCGGAACTGAACTGGGAACTCCTGGGGGCTTCCTGTCGCTACGGCCGGATCCGCGTCGCAGAGCCTGTCAGGATGGACCCCAGGGGGGCGGGGCCGGGGACTGATTTTGAACGGATTTTGGGCTGGGCGAGAGTTTGGTTGACTCAAACGGGGGTCCAGCTGAAAGGGTGTGGTGTAAAAACGTTGGGGCAATGTATTGCAAATGTATTGTGCCAGAGAATGTGATTGCATTGTATTGCATCTAATGCATTGCACGCGAAAGTCCACCAATGCACTTGCGCATCGGAATGTATTATACGCCCCAAATCTATGACAACCCTTCGAATAGATTGCCTATTGCACCACTCTCTTTTCGCTGGGCCCCCCTTCCCTTGGGTCAACCAGAGGGAGAGATGCCGCTGTCGCAACTCACCCTCCTCCGAGCATCATCTTGTACTCCGCAAAGGTGGACATGGCAGCGCCTGTCTCGGATCAGGCCTCGGGCACAGGTGCGCAGCCACGTGCGTCGCCCCACACCAGGGGGCTGTTCGAGCCGAAATGCCCACGTACCCCGCAATGGACCAAAAAACGAACGACACCGCCCCACATACGGCCCCACGGGGCGTAGCGTATACCAGGAAATCTAGCGTGGGCTTTTGCGTGGTATGCGCTATGCCCCCGGTGGGCCGTAGCGCAACACGGAGGTCCGTAGGTGTGGTGGTGTCGTTTGCTGTTTGGTCGACGCAAGGTCCGCGCACATGCGGAAGCCATCAGATTGGGATCCCCAAACGAAGCTGTGACAGACTGTGCGGTGACCTCGGAATCCCGAAGGACTTCACCGCACGGTCCGTCACCGCATCGTTCGACAATCTTTGGAGGCCCCAGTCGCCCGAGACGTCCTCGGAGAAAGAACCAAAACCCCCCAAACCCATCCGGTCCGGTCACCCCGAACCCCCACTGACTCAACACACGGTGTGATCAACGTACCCTTTGGAGGCCCCCGAATCAGGCGAACGCGTTCGAGCACACCAGTGCCGAATTTCCGTTGGGGCCTCCTGGTGGCCACGGCGAGACACGGCGGGTGCGCGGCATTGCTGGAGCCCCGAGCCAAAGGTCTCCGTGCTCAGATCGGCAGGCCTTTACGCGCACCGTGCATCACAAAGACTTCACCGCGCCCGTGCACGCCATCTCCACAGCAGTCCCCTATCCGCAGGAAGCCACGGCGCGCAGTGTATGAAGAGAAGGCCGCACCGCGCGCTACACCGAACTGCATTGGGTTCGACCGTCGCCAGGCTAAGTGTGAGCAGCCCCGCTTATCGCCGACTGTGCGCAGCACGCGCACTCCCATTTCCTGCGCCTCCTTGGAAGGATTCCGAAACTGGCGATCGACCCCACCGTCAAAAAACCGCGGCGCTGTGAGATACAAAAAAAGAAACACGACCACCGCTTCCGAATTCAGATTCCATCTGTGTGATAATCGCTTCGAGCCAGATCCTGTGCCTGAGAGGAGGCACAATTTCCCGTCGTCACTTCTTCGCGCTGCCAGTATGTCAGAGAAGCCCATTATTCCGCTGTCGTGAGACAAAAACAGTATGTCCCCATGAAACTCGCGCTAGCACGGTGCGCAATTATGTAAATTACATATGACAACATCTACAAACATATGGTCGTACATGTTTGTATGTATGTATGCATGCATGTATGTATGCATGCATGTATGTAGGTAGATAGGTAGGTTGATAGGTAGGTACGTATGTGTGTACTTATGTACGCATACATGCATGCATGCATGCATGCATATATGAATGAATGAGTGCATGCATGTACAAGGTTGTATAGTATATGCGTGTATCTATGTATTGAGTATGGGTGTGTGGATGTATGTATGTATGGATGGATGGATGTATGGGTGTATGTATGGGTACGTGTATGTATGTATGTATGGATGGATGGATGTGTGTATGTATGTATGTATGTATGCATATGTGTATGCACGTATGCATGTATACATGCATGTATGAATGTTTGGATTACATAATAGATGCATGTACATGTGTATAGTGTATGCTTGCATGCACGTGTGTATGGATGCATGTAGGTAGGTAGGTAGATAGGTATGCCTGCATGTATGTGTGTAAGTGTTTATAGGTGCATGTATGGATGTATGTATGTATGGATGAATGTGTGTGTATGTATGTATGAATGCATGCATGCATAGATGCGTGCATGTATGCATGTGTGTATGTGTGTATGGATGTATGTATGTATGTATGTGTGTATGTGTGTATGTGTGTATGTGTGTATGTGTATGTATGTATGTGTGTATGTATGTATGTATGTGTGTATGTGTATGTATATATGTATGTATGTATGTATATGTATATGTATATGCATATGCATATGTATATGTATATGTATATGTGTATGCATGCATGCATGCATGCATGCATGTATGTATGCATGCATGCATGTATGTATGTATGTATGTATGTATGTATGTATGTATGTGTGTATGTATGTATATATGTGTATGTACGTATGTAGGTATGTATGTATGTACGTACGTACGTATGTGTTCATGTATGTATGTATGTATGCATGCATGTATGTATATGTATGTATGTATGTATGTATGGATGGATGGATGGATGGATGGATGGATGCGTATAGAGTGATGCGTATATCGTACTGAGAGGTATGGGAGGCGCCTACAACAAATCACCGCCGCCCCCTGCCTCTCCGGATACACCTATGTTCCCTAAAATGTTGGGCACAGGTTTGCCACGCTGTTGGGCCGTTCTTCCCCCAGCCGTTGTGGGAGCCCTTCAGGGAGCACGTTGGGGAGGAAGAGGAGGATGAGGGGAGGAAGAACAAATGAGTATGAGGAGGATGAGGAGGAAGAGGAGGAGCAGGAGACCAGTTGCGAGCTTCTTGGGACATTCTTGGGGCATCCTAGGAGCTTCCCGGGGGCCTCTTGGAGGCCTCCCGGGGGCCTTCTTAGGCCTCTCGGAGGCCTTTGGGGGCTCTTTGGGAGCCTCTTTGGCTTTGTGTACGGCGTTCCTAGCCCGTCTGACGCCGTCGGAAGCCGTCTTGGGGCCCTCTTGGGGGGCTTCAGGGCCGTCTTCACAGCCATCTCGGGCGTCTGGGATGCATCTTGGGCAATCTTTGGGCCCTTTGGGAGCCGTCTTGGGAGCCTCTTGGGCCGCCCTGGCGCCATCTTGGAGGTCTCTTGGGCGATCGTGGGGTAATATTTGGGGCCTCTTGGGCCGTCTTGGGCTGTTCGAAGGCCGAAGAGAAGCGAAGGGCTAAATCCTTCAAAAATCTTGGGAAATCTATGAGTTTGGCCTCTTCGGGCCCTCCTGGAAAACCTCTTGGAGGCCTCGTCGGCCGTCGTGGAGGCCTCTCAGGGGCCTCCTGGGCCGTCGTCGGTCGTCTTGAGGCCAGCTTGGGCCGTTTTGGAAGCTTCTGGGGCAAACTTGGAGGCATCTTGGCCCCCCCCCCTTGGGCCGTCTTGGAGGCCATCTTGGACCATCTTGGGTGAACTTCAGGGCCATTTTGACCGTCTTGAAGGCCATATTGGGCCAATCTTGGGCCATCTGGGAGCAATCTCGAGCACGAAAACCCTTTGCAACCACCTCGGTCTCAGAGTTTTGGTTCGTGTTTCCTCTATTCTGCCCCTTTGGGGGCCCCCTCTTGGAGCGTCTTGGACGCCTCTTGGGCCGTCTTGGACAGCTCTTAGGCCATCTTGGAGCTCTCTTGGAGGCCCCTTGGGCCGTTTTGGGGTGCTCTTGGAGGCCTGTTGGGCCGTCTTGGAGCGTCGGAAAGCCGAAAAGGCGAGAACTTCAAAATCCGTCTAAAAAACGAAAGGTACATCAATAATAATGTGTGGGCCCTCTTGGGAGGCCTCTTGGAGGCCTCTCTGGGAGTCTTGGAGGCCTTTTGGGCCGTCTGGGGGCCATCTTGAGCGTCTTGGTGCGGCCGTTGGGCGTCTCGGGGACTCTTGGGGCCCTATTGGGCCCGAACAATTCATGCGACAACACGCGAGAATTGCCAAGAGATTTCGGAATTTGGGCTCCGGCCCACTTAAAGACTCCTCAGGAGTGAGGTTTGAGGCTTAGAGGATTAGGCAAAGGACCTGAGGACACGCCAACTCCGTGCCCAGAGGCACGGTGGCGGATATCCATATTGGACACCATAAGTGCACGTGAGCTGTTCGTGAAGCCATAGGGCTCAAGGAGGGCGTCAGTACTAACGCAAGCGGGCCGCGCAAGAAACCCACAGCAACGCGCGAGGCCGGGAGATCCCCAAAGGCCAAAAGAGATCGACCTGCCCAACAATGAGACTCCAGCAATCCAGCCCTGCGAAGTCAAAAGACATGGGCGACCCCAGGAGTTGGAATGTTCAATTGAACGAGGTTCCTGGAAGACCTGACCCCCTGGAAAGCGGCCTCCTCCACCGCATCCCCTTCTCCAAAAATATTCAATACATACTAGCCTCCTCCCTCTTCTGGGCCCCGTTTCCGCCCACAGACTGTTTCGATCGAACAAAATCTGAACTGAGATACTTAATGTTGTTTCGAATCGGAACGCTGCGGGTTACAAAATGTCCCCGCTGCAGCGACAGCGCTGCAGGATCGACGATTTGCTCCCCTCG